ACAACAGGTCTGAGCTAGTAGAACTGACCCCATGTCTTTACAGATAATAACAGGTCTGAGCTAGTAGAACTGACTCTATGTCTTTACAGATAATAACCAATCTCATCTAGTAGAACTGTCCCCATGTCTTTACAGATAACAACAGGTCTGAGCTAGTAGAACTGACCCCATGTCTTTACAGATAATAACAGGTCTGAGCTAGTAGAACTGACTCTATGTCTTTACAGATAATAACCAATCTCATCTAGTAGAACTGTCCCCATGTCTTTACAGATAACAACAGGTCTGAGCTAGTAGAACTGACCCCATGTCTTTACAGATAATAACAGGTCTGAGCTAGTAGAACTGACCCTATGTCTTTACAGATAATAACCAATCTCATCTAGTAGAACTGTCCCCATGTCTTTACAGATAACAACAGGTCTGAGCTAGTAGAACTGACCCCATGTCTTTACAGATAATAACAGGTCTGAGCTAGTAGAACTGACCCTTTGTCTTTACAGATAATAACCGATGTCATCTAGTAGAACTGACCCGATGTCTTTACATATAATATTTAGACCGAATTAATTGGACTTGATAACATATTCAGGCTAAAAGGACTGATTTCATGTCTTTTATAGCCAACATTTTGTGGCTAATTGTGCTTTCACTGCTGAAGTAGTGTTCATAGAGAGTTTTTTTTTACTTAAATTCCGGTTTTATAATTAATGCACGATGTTTGTAAAATCTAAGAAATAACTATATGTTAACACAGTCCTATGAAAATTATCACAAGCATTCATAAATTAAATAGGGTTAAATCTTTTCATCTAACAAAGTTGCCATGTAATTTCATGAGTAAAAGGCATTGTTATTATAGGTATTTATAGATGATTTCACAAGTAATGGATATTTTATTCATAAGAACTTACACGTAATTTTACAAGTTGTAAACATTGTATTATTACCAGAAGTTTTACATTATTTCAGCAGTAAAGACATTGTATTATTACAAGGATTATTATAATTGTGCTGACATATTGTAATATTACATGTACTGTATATGAATTTCCACATGATTTGATAAGTAACAGACGTCGGTTTTCCATAAGAATTGTTACGTGACTTAATAAGTAAAAGACGTTTGTTTACCATAAGAATTGCTACGTGACTTAACAAGTAAAATACACTACCATAAGAATTATTACATGGTTTTACAAGTAGGAAATATTATAATTTCTATATAAGTGTACAATTTATATATTTTTACAATTATCATATTATTTCACAAGTAGGATATATTGCTTTATCATGATGATATTCACAAGTATATGATTTATCATTATTATAAGAATTACGTAAAAGTATGAAAACACAAGTTATGCCATTTTTCTTCGTATGAGAGATTTTGACCATGAAGTCGAGTGGAAAATAACAAGATATTTATACAAAACAGATAACTAAATAAATCGAAGAATAGCCGAAAGCTACTTAATTAAAAGTCTGCCTAATTTCACTTGAAGCTGAACACTTTACATTCCTTTCAGAAAGTGGCGACACCTAGGCATTTTTGATCAGTCTCCCTGCAGAAGACAATTTGAGACTGAAGTTGTTGGGATCGTAATGAGTCAACATAATAGCTATTAGTCATAATTGATTAACAGCAAATAAAACGTTTACGGATATTTTCTGTATAATATATCTAAAAATCGTTTATTAAACAAAACTATAATCATTTGCGTCTAAGCACGAAATTGCATTAGAAAATATTTTTCCCCAATAATTTATAAAATTTGTTAGATGATGAAAAATCATAGTGCTGATGATAACAGAGTGAAACAAAAAAAGCTAAAGACTATGATGACAATCAAGTTGCTATCT